GACTGCCAGCAGGAGTCATTCGCAGGGGAGGTGTTAGACATGGACAACGTTATCACATAAACCAGCAGAAAACGGATAACTGAAAGATGTACCTACAGTGGTTTGAAAAGAAAGTCAGTCATAGATACATTATAAAAACAGGAATTATGAACATAAAATGATGACTACATAATTAAGTAGCCTGTTAAAATTATTTTTTTTCTTGCCTTAATTTTCCATCTGATTAAAATTTCCCACCAAAGCCCCTCAGACTTATAGGGCTTTGATTTTGGCAATGCATTACAATTCTGGCAGGTAGCCAGCCTTTTATTTTTATCCCTCAGTCCTTTGGTCTCTTCTTCATATATTTCTCATCTCTCAATGTTGTTTTTTTTTCTACTCACAGAACATATGTAAACAACTAGAATTATTTTTGGGCTACAGAAGCATAACATAACTCTATTTCTGTTTCTAACAAGAGATTATATTCTTGCAGATTCTTCTTTTTTTAATGATTAGGTTTGGGCAAACATTTGACTGTAAATGGGTTATATTTATTAGGCATTTTAATTTATGCTGTTGAGAAACTGTCAAGATCCCTAAATATGGCCAAATAAAATTAATAAAAATAAAAATATTAAAATGGTATTTTAAAATTAAATGACATTCAGACTGTTGCCATACACTGCTGACTTTTCAAAAATATTTATTATCCAGTGACAACGTACTCAGTACTATGCGCATTGCAAACCCACCTCCAAAATCTCAAAGAGTGCTTAAGAACACAGCAGACACACTGAACAGCTCTACTGAATCTCAAAATACTGAAGTACCATCCTTAGTGCTTTGTCAGCTCCAAGCCTACCTCAATGAAAGGACATCACATCTGCAACACGTACATCTTATTTTTTTCCTGTGAAACTTAGTAGAACTGATTCTTGATCAAAGGTTAGAAATATTTATTCACTGTTATTTGTAACTGCAGTTAGTAACTCAGGATATGCTTGTTTTGTCTGAATGATCACATTTAATGTTACTGTCAACACTTTTTAATGCCCAGTCCACATACATCCTATGTTAGATTTGCTAGAACCAAATCCAAAAAATCCTTTACACATGTGTTCATGCTTTATTGATTTCAACTTTCACCTATATACCTGCTGCTATATATCTTCTAAACCTTGTTTATTACTGAATCAGCAACTGCACATTTTAAACCCAAATAAATCTGCAGTACATTTAAATTTCTAAGTTAATTGAAATTTCCAAATGTATTTGTCCCCCAAACCAGCACAGTAAAACTGTGCAACTTGGAGTCACTTTTGAGTGGCTTTTGTAAAAAAATCATGCTGAAGTAAAAAAAAAAAAATAATCCTGGCTAACACCTGTGCATTTTAATGCTTAATATGTCCACTACAATCAGTATGTCTGATTGCTTTGACAGCTTTTTCACCTAAGCCACTGACTCCCAACATTCGTGTCCTTCCTGTCCCAACTTCTGTCACACAGCCTAACGCTACTGAATGTCAAGACCTTATTCTACTTAGTCACAGTTTTTCCCTTAGAGAATATAATATCTGCTAACAAATTCTACATCATTAATACATTAATACACATTAGGCATATTTTTTCATATACTGAAAAAGCATGATAAAAACATATGCTAGGAATATCCTGAGTTAATTCTATCAATATTTCTCTGCTTCTTATTTGGCACAGATATACAATGTGTGACTATTTTATAGAGTTTGGAAATTTTCCTTTGCATGACATTTTTCATTCCCTCTTTTCCAGTCAAATCTGTTGATTCCAGTTGGTGAGCTACTTCTTGTATTTCTTTGGACCAATTTGTCACCCCGGTCATGTGGTCAAAATGGTAAAAAAAGGGCCTACAGTTGTTCCTTCCAACACACCGTGTTGCTTGTGGTGCTCCCCCTGAACTCATCAGAAGAAATTATGGAGGACATGTAGCAGATGAGAAAGAGAACACAATTGCAGATAAGCTCTGATCCTTTAGAATGTTCTTCTTTCTTAGGGTGGGTTTGTGGCTTGGTTTGACATCCTCACATTATAGTGCTCTCAAATTTTAGAACTTAATTTTTTTAGCCATATGATTAATTTCCTTAAAAACCATACAGTTTTGAAAGCTTTCGCTCTTTCTGTGAACATTCCTCATTAGAGAGAGGTACAGCTGTGATGTATTTTGAAACATCTTTTATTGTGTCCTATGCAAGCTAATGAAAATACTGTTAATAATAGCAAGCGATGCCTAGGATACGCTACAAAAATAGCATCTTTTTAAATGCGGCAGACTGTCTACAACCAAGTTACAGCCCTGACTCAGCAAACTATCCCTCTTCATCACAGTACTTTCGCCACATGCTGAACTGTAAGGTGTGCACTGCAGCCTCAGTAATTTACACGGTCCTTAGGAAAGAGCCAAGTGCTTTGTTGAATGGGAATGGACCGAAGCATATAAACGTTTTACTGCAGTACAGCCCATTATCTCATTCTTTTGATCTAGATTACCTTGATCTACATTTAAATTTGCGTGCTTGTCTAAACTAGATCTCATTATGGACCCGAAAACATAAAGAAGTTGAAAGGAAGTCATTCCACAGACATGGTGCGACTAGAGGCGCACTAGAATCTTACCCAGCACTGCAGAGAGCACTCGAGCTACAGGATGCTGGTGGGTGCCTAAAAGAGCTTCTGCCCAGAGGACAGCCATGCTGAGCAACAGAAACATGCCTGGTGTTAAAAGAGCCACCTGGCAGCTGGCTGCTGTCCTTTCAATCCTAGGAATGTAAAGCAAGCCCTAATTCTTACTCATTTGTGTGCAAAATGGGAAGGAGAAAGTGAAAGGGCCACATGTGTTTTCATTTTTTGCTTTTATAACCTATTTTAGGTACCTTTTCCTTCTCTCCATTATATAGTTTGATAGCTTGATTTGACAGAAAATTTATCCAAGGTTTTAGTTCTGCATGCTGCCCTTTTGAAAAACTGGTGGAGACCCCTGGGATCTTGCTGAAAATCCAAGATCTTTGGCTACCTTTGAGGGAGTATCTGAATACGTACATTCTGAGTTGTCTCCTTCTTTCCTCAACCTGCAATCTGTGCACATAACAAGCTATAAAAACAGTCATATGACGTATGCTGCCCCTTTTATCTTGCTCATGAGCATCTTAGGTTAGAATTACATGTCTCAAGCACATCTAGCAGGAAACGTTTCCCAGCAGTCCAACCATATAAAACAACATAAAGAGCACCTTTCACCCAGCCAAAAAACAACAGTGACTTTTGTGGTGAACATTTTTTTTCCTGGGAACCTAAAGTAAGTTCCTGATTTGCCACTTAGATATGATTTGTCAGGAGACACTTCCCACTTACAATTTCAGTTCACAGTCTATATATTATACATTGGCCAAGAATGATTACAAGCCTTCAGCTGTAGCTTCCCTGTACAAAAAGATGTCCCATTTACTGAAGTATTGAGATTCAAGTTTCTTCCAGAAAGCAAAAGTTCCTAACATGTCCAGTGGACCAAACATAACTCCCTTGAAGGAGCACTGGCAGCCACAAAAGTCATGAAAAGCAACTTGCCTTATCATTTGCTTGCTGTAGCCATTTCCTTAGGCATTCAAGGTAGTTGTTCATATCTGCGGAAAGGGCAGGAGCAGATCTACTCACAGGGCAGGAGCAGATCTATACATCTCAATGAGTTCTTACGGAAATTCTCAGTATCCTTGATTTTATATAATTTTACCTCTCATTTTTAAAGCACAAAATTTCAGTCAACAGCCTGCTTGCTTGTTCCCATGCTACAAGCTTCTGGCAGCACGTACTCCGTTTAATGACAGGCTTGGTTCTGTTCCAGCAGATTATTAAAAAAAAAAGTTCTGATGAAAAAATGAGATGCGTTTAAACAGCTACGTAGTCCAATCAGACAATTTGAGGGTTTTGGCTGTTTCTTTCCTCTTACAGACCCTTATCAGGCCAATATACACATACATACAGACAGTATTCAAAGGAGAGTTTAGCAACGTGTTTGTGCTTAAGTTTCATGATCTTCCAAACACATTACAGTAGGTGCATTATTGTTGCTCGGCGTTTCCACAGCCTGGTTTATTCAGGAGACCACGCAGCTTAGCTTAACACTAGTCATATAAAGGATGTATTGATTATTTCTTTTAAATACGACTACTTAGAACTTTAACAAGGATGCATATATACTTTAATACTTGTCAACAATTTACTGTAAAAGCAGCAAGGTGGTTGATAAACTGCCAATTATCCTTCTTCCATGTGCTAAATTATTGCTACATATTTTTGGAGATACTCACAACAGTGCTGGAGAAAGGACATCAAATGATGCTTAGAAATGTGATACACATTTTCATTTCACACTCCATCAGTTTTTACAACTAGAGCTCCATGAAATGTATGAGAATACTTGGCTAACAGCCATATCTACTGAGGTGTAAAATAAGGATCAGATCTCTTTTTAAAGGAGTTTCATTTTCTTTACATGACTAAATCAGATGTTGACCTTTTTCCAAAATATATTGTAAATATTCCGTACCTCTAACCATCATTTAATTTTGAATCTCTGAACCCAGTTTTGACCTGTTTTAACGGACATGTAATCAATACACGTTTTTAAAACAGCTTTGTAAAGCAAAATAAACAGATTCATCCTTCCACTATACTAGAACTGAAATACTTTGAACTATATAATCACTGGTGTTAAATCTTTTCAATTCTAATAAATTCTTTCTTCATCTTGCACCCTGGAACAAGAAACAAGTGTATTATTGCCTTCGCAGTCAGCAAAGTAAAGCTATGGGCATCAGCAAAAACATCTTTTAAATTCAGATTTCAATCTGTCAGGAAAGATTAAAGCTTCATGCATACATAAAAGGGGAACTATAAAATGATAACAGATACATAGCATGGAATCATTATGCTTGAACAGCTGCTGTTTCACCAGTGTAGTAAAGCAGAAAATGTCTTTTACTCACCTCTGTTAAACCAGAAACTTCTCCTTTTGCTAACGGTCTGGTGATGGATGCTGTGTAAATTCTGGCATCTGACACTGGTTGTCCCTTCATAAAATGTTTCCCAGCTTCATAAATATTCACTTCTACCATCTTACCCATTAACAGAGGATCCTTTGGCACAAGAACCTTTCAAATAAAGACAAAGACATAGTTACTAAATACCACAAAGGACATTGGTGTCTCCAGCTTCCACTCGGAGAACAGATTTTTGATAAACATCAGAGCAAATCCTAAAACTCTGAAATTTTAGTCACCAGCATACACTATCACCCTGACACACTTGACCAGTAACATGTCCAGCCTGCATTCTTCAAGAGCTTTGTGGTGTTAGCTCAGCTCTCTTCAACTCCAACTGATTCAGCAAGTTGTGTTTTTTGATTGATGACAAAGCTGGGCCTGAGATGCAACATTTAAATCCAGACCCAAACAGTTCCCAAGGGTACTTGTATTACACGATTCTAATAGACTGCTGTAAAGCTTCCTATTTTCATATCTATCCCATGATACTTTTTTAAAAAAAAAAAAAAGCTTTTAAATCTGTAAATGCTTCAGGACAGAAATTACACCCTTGTTTCTGTTTGCACAAGCCCTTATTTTGATTGCGCAGGTCTTTTGCAGCTGAGATGCATGATTGCCAATGAATGCCTGTAAAAATGGATGAGTGTGTTTCTTGGGTCAGCAACCCTTTCCTGAATTTGCACAACCATGGTATCAGACAGCCCCATAAGAACTTCACAAAAAAGACACCACAAAGCAGACGTTCCTAGGTCATGCGTGTTACAAAAAAAGAGCCCAACATACAGGAGCATCATTTTTTGCTGGAAGAACAAATGGTATGAAAAGTCTCTAAAAATAGAGAAGTTGTTAAAAAAGAAAAGCAGATTCATTTCCCGACAAACAAGGAAAACCTGAATCACAAGGACTCATCTAATCACATTTACTTGAAGCTCATCCACACACAAATGCAAGCTTTTCAAAGATGATGAGCACATACGTGTATCTTGATTTTTGGATGCTGAAATTGAAATGTCTTAAAATGGCTTTTAGACAGAGGATTTTCAGAGGAACAGTGCCAACCACATTTGGAGAGCATGCCGTTGCCAAACAGTGCCTCTCCACTTTCACCTATCGCAAGTGTAGGTTGTCCCACTTGGAGGAAATCATCACCAGTAGTTTCCCTTTTTCCCTGAAGGCTCAAGGTGTTCATGACTCTAGGAGTTTCCAGATCCTAGGATTCTGCTGAGCTTCCTAAGCATCTAAGCAGCAAACGCAGAGCCAAGGTCCTAATGCTGAGACAGTATTACAGTGTGACTGGATCACAGTTCTTCCCACATAATTCATCTTGGGCAAATTTAAATCCAAGGAAAATCAGGTACCTAAGAATCCCTGGGCCTGTGACCTCTGTAAATCTTGGTATCTCCATATGCGAAATGGCAGTAACTAAATATAAATCCTCAGGGGCAGACATGCGTAAGTGACTGCTACTTCAGAAAAAGAAAGAGGTTAAATGAAAATACCTGGGAGGCGCTGTAAACTACCAAGCAGCCAGGCTTGGCGTACATTTTTTGGATCTAAGTATTTGTCAGGAAAAAATCCCCAACCATATTTCTAAGAAACAAAGTTATACCAACAGAAAACCTCATCTTTGGTGATGTTGTTTTGGCAAAGTACCCTTTGGTCAGCTTAGACTACTCTGTTCAGTGAACTACCTTAAACAACAGCACCAAAGCCTCCCGTTCTACCAGGCAGTCTGTTAGTGTAGCTCTATCGATATGGCTCTAGTGGCACACTCTTTTAACATAGATGAGCTTAGTGAAGAGAGAATAGGTCTGATAACTATTTGAGTTAACAGAACATTACACCAGGACTCTGAGTGCCAGCTTCCAAAGTATAATACAATATTTAGTGACTCAAAAGTGGTTTTCAATTTACTGTCATTAAAGTCACTGCTATTAAAGTTAGTCACTAACACTCGCGCTTACCTGGGCAAACAGTAGGATATTACCCTTGTCAAACAAGCCATGCATAAGATTTAAGGGAACAGACAAACATTTTCATAATGGGAAGTATTTCTTCCATAATAAAATTCAAAATTACTCCCTATGTTATTTTTTGTATTTCATGTATTCTTTAGAAGTCCCAATCAGGAGCTCTCTCAGGTGCTGTACGAACACCCCATAAAACATCAACACTTTATTTTTGCACATACTGCTTTTCCTTTAATTAATGAAACTTTCATAAAACAAGCACTGACACTAAAAAGCCCCAAGCAATTTCTTTTTAATCTCTATATGGAAAACCATGTTCCTCAAATCTGACTGATAAGCTACAAAAGCAAGGAACAGCAATATATAAGACTTAGACAGAGGTTAGAGGTGCAACAAAAGAAAAAAAAAAAGAGATTTATTGAAAAAAAAACTAAAGAAAAATAATTAGTGAACCAGGTATCTAATAGAAACAGATTAGGGCCAGCTGTGTCAGGACAAGGGGTAATGGTTTTAAACTAAAACAGGGTAGGTTTAGACTAGATATAAGGAAGAAATTCTATACAATGAGGGTGGTAAAACACTGGAACAGGTTGCCCAGAGAGGCAGTGGAGGCCCCATCCCTGGAAACATTCAAGGCCAGGTTGGACGGGGCTCTGAGCAACCTGATCTGGTTAGCGGTGTCCCTGCTCACTGCAGGGGGGTTGGACTAGATGACCTCTAGGGGTCCCTTCCAACCCAAAACATTCTATGATTCTATGATTCTATGATTTCAAGAGCAGTTATGTTACCTACTACTAAGCATAAATAAATAAATAAATGCTGTAACATAATCCTGAACCAGAAGAAAGCACTATCGGTGACTATATAAACAGGGCCATCATCAAGAGCCTCTCCAGGTTCAGACAGCTGAATAACTAAAGGTAGCAAAACTGTAGACAGCTCAGTGCAAGAAAATGGAGAACAAGCCAAAGGCAAAACCAGAATGAAATCATGATGATTCAGAAAAGCCAATTTTATTGTTTTTCAGCGAGTCATCTGCTTTTGAGCAAAAGTAATAGTTTTGTGAAACAGATACTGTATTTCCTTCTTAGCTCAAAGATAATGGTTCTGTGTGGAAAGAATTCATTTTCAGAAAGTACCTAGAAGGAAATCAACATATCATGCGGACTGTTAATCTAAAGAAGTTTCTGACCCTTCCTATTGTTTGAAATTATTTTTTTTTTGCAAATTGCATTGCCTGAAAGGATTTTCTGAAAGAAGTATGGAAATTATCAAGATTCAACTGTTCAGAGAGCAATGCTTTGAGGACACAGAAATTAAAATTACTGCAATAATGAACAGCTTCTTAATTCAAATAACTTTTTGGATATATAGCACATATCCTCCTCATGCTATATACTCAAAGAGCTACTGTGTATTTCATAACTTAATGTCAAGTAAATTGTATTTACAACACAGAAACAAAATATCTTACAAACAAGTCTTGAAGGTCACACCTTTCCTGGAAAATGTTCTTACTTCTTTACTTTTTTTTTTTTTTTTTTTTTTTTTTTGCACTGTGGCATACTGTGTTGCTGAGATTATCAGAAAACTAAGACAAAACAAAAAGATGTTATTTTGTTTATTTAACCATACCTGCTCATAGAAGGGATTGTGAGCAACATAGTAATTGGAATCAAAGGATTCTTCTGTTACCAGAACTCTTTGCTTCTCACCAACCTGGAAAAGAAAAGACAAGAGAGATGACTCAGAAAACAAAAATAATGAATTACACTGAGAAGAGAGCTGTGACTACAAACAAACACTCTTAGCAGAAATAATCAAATTCTCTGAGGAAATTCTGTGTCAGCAAGAAAGCAGGGCAGAGAAAGCCCTAGTTCAAACTGTCTAAAACTTGCAGGGTTAAAAGTCAGAATGCGGAGGGCTAGAACTGTGCTACTGTAATGGCTTAACATGAAAATCTGGTTCAGAAATATAAACCGATTTTTACTCATTAACACAGTAACAAATAATACTGTCAGATGTGCACAGAGTCCATTATAGCTTCATTCAGCTAATGATAAGAATCCCCTTCAGTATAAAATTCTTCAATCAGTCACAAAAAGGGTAACACTGTGCCCCAACAACCCTATGACAAATAAAACAATTAGCAGCACCCGAGAGAAGCAGGGAACTATAGCACACTACACAACTTCTAGATGCCATCAAGCTCATCTATTTGCCTTTTCTTTTTTTTTTTTTAAAGCCACACTTGTTATTTACAATGATAGGGCATCTCTTTATCCCTTCTTGGTGATTTCACTAAGCTGTACTGATGAGATCACATTGATTTCTATGACAGTGGAGTCAACACGGCATATTACAAAGACTCAATGAAGAAGAGTTTTCAACAACTCACAGACACAGCAATATTAAAGGCCAAATAAACACTGGGCTAAAGAGCCCAGCATATCAATTATACCTCCCAACTTCCAAATGCACTAACACAGTTTAAAGGAAGCACTAGTTTTACAGTTTGTTAAATTGAAGACCCCAAGACAAATCAGTTGCACTTAGTTGTCAAGTAAATACGAAACAAAATCTGATGTTCCCCAAAGCTCAAAATCCTCTCCACAACACCTTTTGATTTTGCCCATTACTGAGTTGTATAATGAAGTTTATAGTCTAATTTCTGCAAACCTTGGAGGGCATTTAGCTCACATTTTTAGTCTGAGCCCATCTTTATTTTTTTGCATCTAAACATGTCCTGGACTCTTTCCAAACTATTTGACAAATGCATTCTGCAAATTACATCTGTCTAGCGAGCTAAATTTACTCACTGCTTTTATTGATGTCACTGTTTTGAGAATCAAAAATGGTTTAACATTTACTCCAAATTTTTAGTATCCGTGAGCAAAGCTGAATTCAAGACCTTTGCCCCTCCCTGAAAGACTTCCACCACATCCTAGTGGCAAGTATTATGCAGAAGTTTTAAGGCCTCCACCATAAGGTCCACGTAATTAGCAAGAAGATGCAGATCAGATAATAATGTTTTGATTCTTTGAGGTGCAAGCAGTAAAAGAGAAGATTAGGATTTTCTCTAACAGTCAATGGCAGAAAAAAGAACATCAAGAAATAAGAACAGCAATTATCACATCTGCATTACAGTATATATATATACACTGTATGTATGTGCATATATACACACACACATATACACACGTGTTACGTATATAATTCTCCACTCACCCAACAGAAAGACTTTATGGAATAACTCTTGCCCTCTCTTCCCTGTGCACGTACCTGGAGTATTCCCAAAGTAAACCCTGGAGAGCAGGGGAGACAGCGAGCACCCAGCTCACCTCCCCAAAGGCTGTTAGAGTTAATTCCCCAGGGCCACAGGTGTGGGGCACACAGCAGAAGGGGCACAAGCCCCAAGTTACAGACCCAGTAACAGAATCCTAATAGTAGAAAAGATGCATATTTTTGCATACTTTTAAGATGTGTTTAAGAGTTGTTTACAGCACATTTAAAATTTCCATTCTTGTTTCTCTGGGAAGCCTGCAATTACAAATAAGAACAGATACAGCATACTCAAATTTAGTAACCTAAATCCAGTGTAACCATTTACCATTCCCCTAAACAGTAAAGTGTCTTTTTCTTTCAAGAAAACTGTTATTCAGTTCAAATCCCCAGAGTTTTGCAAACACCTGTCAAGGAGGCACTGGAGATAACTACGCCAGTAATAAGATTACAGGGAACATTTCCCCTGAATGGACAGGTTTTGTTGTTTCTACAATATTTGAGACCATAGCTTTTAAAATCAGAACCCAGTATTTGCTGTAGCACTACAGTACCGAAGTCTCAGATGTCAAGCAATATTATGAAAAAGAGGAGGATGAAATATTAGATAAGCAACATTCATCCTTGGGGAAATGTGTTACCACTGAAAAGCACCAAGTCATGTCCTCACATTGTGTTCATTATTTACCAATATCATAACTTAGCAAAACCATCTCAAAGCAAAACTGGGTCTGTAATTCATTTCACAATTGTCTTGTGGTTGCCTGGTCCTCTGTGGTCATAACATTCTGCCTTCGTCGTCTCTATGAATCCTGCCTGTGAGGTAGTCTAAGCTACACGTGTTATCTTCATACTCTCAGATGACAGAATGGCAAGCGGGATATGGAAAAAATAGTAATAATAAAAAAAATAATCAGAGGGAAGAAGAAAAGAACACCTGTGTTTGATCATTTGATATAAGCAATGGTTTCTTCATAGACACATTGCCAGTTTTTCTTATCTTTGCTTCCATGAGAGAAAAGAGCTCAGGTCTCCGTGTCTCAGTGGGCCAGACTGAGCTTCTGGGCTCAGAATTTCTCAGGAATGGAAGGAAATCAGGAAGACTGAATTTGTCACATCACATCAAACCTGTGGCATTAAAATTGAGTACCAGAAGTGCAGAGGAGCCGAACAGCCTATACCAATTCACAGTATGTACATACATCAGCACCCACACACCCTCACAAGACTAAGATGGCATACTGTAAGGAGAACAGGTAAACCCAGGAATTGTTCACTTGCTCAAGGTACTGGATTTGTAGCCTTCGCCAAGGCTGAGCTCACAGAGGAAGAAGATATTCAGCTATTTGCAGACTCTTTTGCCATAACAACAGAAAAGGAAAATTCCATTTAATGAGTTAGGCCATTGGGTATTCATGATCTACAAGACTAATTGGCTACACACATTTGTAAGACAGAAAATGACTATCTATCCTGCATCCAAGTATAATTAAAAAGAAATGTAAGTATGCAGAATGCAGCTTTGGTATTGAAATTTGTTCAAGAAATGGAATATGTCATCATTTCTGCAATTATTCCCCTGGGATCTCTAAGTGCCTAAGTTTCACCTCTCTCAGAAAGAATTTAAATATATGCAGAAACCAGACATGATATCTAATAACAGTCATAATTATAATAACCTTTGATGATTTTTTTCAGGCATGTACCAGCAGAAGTAATTCAGTATCTTATTTTTATTCCTATTCTTTCATCTGCTTCCACAGGTATGCACGAGTTCCAGCTCTCAGGGAACTACAATTCTGACAAAGCATCTGGAACTGAGGAAACTCAGCCTTGGCATCTCGGTTTGGAAAGATTCCTGTTGAACCAGGACTTTTTTTCTTTACGGAGGATATCACGAAAATAATAACAAATGACAGCAAAAAACTTGCCTGGCAACCTCCCCCATCCCAAGGTAGACTGGTCACATCATTTACACAAGGAGAATTTGTTTTCACCGAAAATAATGCAACAAGTGCTGCTGGTCCTATCACTTCCTACACTGCAACTGTTGCCAGGTAGTTTGTAAATTTCAGAATTAGTAATCAAATCACTTATGAACTTTTATTTCATTTTCATTTATCCTACAGGAAATTCTGACATGATAATTCTATAACTCAGCTTTTTCTTTATCGAATACCATAAAAAACAGTTTTTCCAGCTGGCTTATTTTCTAAAATGAATGAACGCTAAGAAATGTCAAACATCCTTCTTGGCTGCAGTCAAAATTGGTTTGTTTTTTAAACCAAAACTGACTGAATCACATAAAACACAAGACTGATTTTTAAATTCTACAATAGTATGGGTGCAAAAGACAGGCCCTGTTTACATGCTTTCATAGAATATTGTTATATAACATCAACAACAGCCTGCTGTAATTATACTCAGGTAACCTATGCTCCTAATATTTTTTTTTTTTAGTTAATGAAAACTATAATTATTCCAGTTCGATTCTTTACTTGTTACAGCCAGAGCATGTGGCACATGATCTTTCTTACTGTTCTTTTATCTGAATTTTGCTAGTTCTGTTTTTAAGAGTTTCTGCTTGGGTAAAAAAAAAAAAAAAAAATAATCACTGTAATTCTATACTTCTCCCGTAGAAGGTGGCACACTGCACATACAGCCATGTCCATTGATTGACAGTTGCCAACGTCTCCTTTCAGGTGGAGTTTAGTTCATAGTGGAATCGATGAGCATCTCTGCATTCGCGTTGAAGGAGGCTGGCTTGGATTCTGACCCCAAACATTGCGGACCATACTTAGTACAAGGCTTGGAAGCCACACAAAAACTTACTTTCCTTTGTTATTTAAATACATCATAAACCAGGCAATAAAAAATGTCACAGTTTATGTGTGTATGTTTTAGCAGATTATTCTGATGTACAGAGTATTTCTGGTAAACACGCATATTTTGACCTTTACTAAGTATAACGAAGTTTAAGCAAAAGTAGTTTAGAAAGCCTTCATTCTACATCAATTTTGGTATATTTCTCTCCCAATTTTTCTGTTGTGGTCTCAATATTTAAAATAAATTTTAATAATTATGCAGATGCTGTGTCCTTCTCTATAAAGTAGAGAAGAACTGCTGGACCTACTTTTTATGAACCACATCAATCCTTACGTAATTAGTAATTAGCAGCAAAATTTTTCAAAAGTTATAATTAAGCATTTTCTAAGCCTTCTATTTATACATTGTAGGTGTTTTCTCCTCCTGACACACAAGTCTAGGTGTACCACAACCTCCCTGTAAAAAAGACAAAGTTTGTGGAAACTTACGCCATGGTCCCATTTTGATGATACCAGAATGCATCTGTTTCCAAACTCTCCTTTATACTGCTTTTTTCTGCTATTCAGCACTGTTCCTCCAACATTTAAGGTGTACATATATCTCCCTTTCTG